CCTAGGTGTATATATATATATATATACTAGAGTTAACAAAATTTAATACTCAAAAAGAGTTCAAAATATACAATAAAATTGAGAAACCTGACTAAAATTCTCTACAAAATGCTTAAACATTTCAGTTACTTACTCTGTGAACCCATAAAGCCAGCAGGAGATTGCATTTGGACTTGTGATGAAGATGATGGTGAAGGAGCTGGTAGAAATGATGGTGAAGGAACATGTAGTGGATTCACGGGTGAGCTTCCAGCAAAGATATTCCCTGGTGACTGGGCCTGCACGTGGAACATAGATGTAGATGGCGATACATGCTGGCCTTGTGACCCTAAGGATGGGGGTGAGGCCAATGGGAAGGAGGGGTTGGGGGAGGTTCGATAGCTCTTGAAATCCAAGAATGGAGAGAAAATATGGATAAAATACACCACAATCAGTTGTTGAAAACAACTATGAACAAAGGGAAGTACAATATCACAGGAAAAACATTGTCTAATAGGTTCTGTGTAACAGAATTTTCAGATTTGCAGTACTAGCAGTTGTGACTGTTTTTGTTGACCACTAATAACTTTGTGAATAGCTGAAGATAATATTCAAACATCACTAATTGTTTCTGTACTAGAAAAACAACTGGTGAAATGTGCAGATTAGTGTAACTGGTTTTATATACCAATTATAACTATATTGTAGAAGTAGTGTTGAATTTACTAATCAAACATTTTTGTTTGAAAGAGGACAAATTCTTGGAGTTAAATTGCATGTTTTAGCATAAAGCTACATAATGGACTACCTGCACTCTTTTTCAACCATAAGGAATCAAACACTGGATTTTAGCATTGTAAGGTTGCAAACTTACTGCTGACCCATTGAAGGATGTTAGACTAGACAATGGTCAACAAGTTTAGTAAGATGTTAACACTTTACAACTACAAGTTAGAGCCTGAAGTGAATGATTTTTTGAAATAATTAAACTTGAAGACTGGAGTGTATAGTTGTGTCAATTATTTTGTAATGGGGGTAATCTAAGCGACATTTTGGGAGTACATTAGGCCAAAAGTATTGATTATAAAAGCGAATTTTCATAAGGTAAATATGACAGAGTGACGTACAGGGATGTAGTCTTAGTCCTTCACAAAATCCCTAGACTATAGGATTTTCAAATATGGAAGATCTGGAGCAATTTATTGACAATTAAAATTTTAATCAGACAATTCTTACATAAAATACCTAGAAGAATCATTTCAATGTTCTCACTGTTTCAATTGTTTCTATAAAGTTAAGCAATTAATATTTTCTTTTTATTTAAGGATCAGAACTCCCTCTTCCCAACACCCAGAAAAAGTTATTGAGTGGCATCCACCTGTCCTGGCTGAACTACACCACTAGCACAGCACTCTTCTTAACACAAATATTACAATATAAAAAAACTATAGCACCATGGAAGCATTAACTATGAAATGCTGAGTGCATTAATTAATTTGTTTGTTGTTAAGCACAAAGCTACACAATAGCCTATCTGTGCCGTGCCACCATGGGTATCAAAACCAGGTGACATTGAATTAAACTGGACTAAAATGAACTATTGTTTCTATGAAATGACTAGTTTTATGTAATAAAATATAAGAAGTTCTTTGCTGGTAGCTAACGCATTTGGTTTAAGTGATAGAATAAGTAGTCATGCTCATAAAACTAATAAGGTACAAAAATCAGTAACTTTGTAGATGTTTAGTTAAACTGAAGTAACTGATTCTGTTTAAAAGATACAACTTTATAGGAAGTTAGGAGACAGATGGAGCGAATGTTTTGACATTACATAAAACTGACTAGTTATGTATAATACAACTTTTTTTTTGGAACTGAAGAAGAGTAATGATAACAATCTTGTTTATTAAAGTTTTTAGTGAGTGTGTGTTAAACCAAAGTAGATGCATTCTGTGTAGCGTTTGTGTGAGAAATAAACTTAACAAATGAAATCAATATGGAGCAAGTTTGTTAACGTGATAGAAATAAGAACTTGGAATCTGTTCCGAATGAAAAACTATTTTTTGAAATAATATCAGAATGGAGTGATTTTTTAATGATTACCATAATGCTTTAAATTTAATGGAAGTGACTGATAAAAATGTTGAATATGATCAAAATGACATTAAAGTAATAATGTATAGTAATGAAGTCAAAAAGATTTGTTCTGGATCACAAATGAACTGTATAATAAGACCAAAAAGGGTTGAATTTCCTTAAGTGTAGGGAATGAAGTTAAGAAGAAAAATAAAAAAAAAGACATGATTTGCTCTTTGTTAGAAATTTACTTTTGGTCTGCAGGGAGTGCATTGCTTCCTGAAATAGGAGTGGTAGTGAAGATGACAAGATTGTAACTACAAAAGACAAGAGGAAAGTAACACAGGGAAATGTCTAGTGTGTAACAGCAACAATTATAATCAACACAAAAAAGAATGTACGGTGACATCAAAAAATGTATTTCACAAGAGTATCCTTAATCAATGATATTATTAGCAGACAGTATTGTGAAAAATATGAAATATCTTGTACATCAATTTGTTTTCAAGTCATAAATTCTTAAAACTAAGTTAAATTAATAATAAAGGTTATGTGAATTTATCATCTCCTGAAACCTTTTATTTCATTATACTTCTCTAAGAATGAAAACAGTTCTCTTTAATATGTTCGCTGTCATCTAAGTATTCGCAAAAAAAAGGTAAAATTTTATAGATATTGAAGCAAATACAGATATTCTCATTTAAAACATGCTTTTGAACTGAAGAAAACATTAAGGTATTGGTTTCCAATATTCACTTTTTTTTCTTCTTAGATATCAATATTTAATACCTTTTATGTATTGAGTTTCAGCATAGATGTAAAATATCATCATTATAAAAAAAAAAAACTTTACCTCAAAATGAGTTTTATACTCCAAAGAGCAATATCTTTACATTTGTAGCACCAAAACTTGCTTATAAAAGCATCTGGCAATGAATCCCAGTATTCTAGATGACAACTGACACTGAACTGTACTTCTTAGAGCATATACACTTTAGGACAGTGTCTCATCTGTGATAATTTCTGATACTCATCTGAGCTTGATATTATGAATTCTTTCATGTCTTATATAACATCTGATGCCAATCTGTTCTCAAATAACCAATTTTGTATATATATATATATATATATATATATATACACTCTTTCATGATGTCTCTCCTGATACTCATGTATCATTAATGTTTAAGTATTTATGCTTTCACATACCATCTCACCTATGATAACTGTTAACACTAATCTGTCCTGAATATCATTAATCTATTACATCATATCTCACCTGTGATAGCATGCCTGTATGAGGAGATGCAGGCGTATGAGGATTAGATGGTGGTGTCATTGGATGATGAAAGCGAAGCCCTCCCGGAGTGCCTCCTCCTTCTTGGTTACCCCTCTGGGAAGGAGGAGATGGTCTGATTTGACTAGCAGAAGACAAGAAAGGATCTAGACTGTCGAGTGTTGAGCCTGGTGAGGGAGGATTGTCATCCTCGGAATGTGAAAGCCTCCGTAGCTGAGAGGAAGCTTCATCTACAAACTTGTTCAAAAAAGCCTAAAAGATAACGGATTCAAATCACACCAATTAGATATATAAAACGTTACATCACTGACAACAGAAAAAATACCTTAATCCTCATATAAAAAGTTCACATTACCATTCAGTTTATATGAAAAACGAATTATCTGCTTAAGCCACCCTTATAACTGATTCCAATTTTTGCAGCAACCCAAATACTTTTTTCTGCCTTATATTGGTTCTTTCATATTACATTGTGTCATATATTAGTGATTTAGAATGCTTACTTTTCATGATGTAAATGATGCTACATTTGAAAGTAAAGATGCAATTTTCAGTACGTTTGTTTTTGAATTTCCTGCAAAGCTACACGAGAGTTACATTACAAATATTACTACAAATACTTCTGATTTTGCCGCTTGAATCTCTCTCACTAACATTTATCATAAACACAGTCAATTTCATCTTTGACTTTATTATACTTAGAAACAGTTTTGTTTCACATTTCATAATTTCTACATACATTCTATAAACCTTTGCACATTTCTGGCTACACTCTATCAACATAAAACTTTGAAGGACTTAAGAACACACATTACTTAACATTTAGTCTTACCTTCTAGAACTTAAGAACACAGTATCTAAAAATCATTCAGACTAACCTCCAAAGACTTAAAAAATACACTCTATCAGCATAGTATTTGAACTTACCTTCAAGAATATTTGTATATACTATACACTCTACTTAAAATAAATTCACACTTACCCTAAGACCCTGAATGGGCATCAATTCCTCAACTACTTTAGTTTTGTCAAACAGACTAAATGCCCCATCTTGAATTGCCAGTAAACCATCTGGTTTACAGTGGATGTCAAGACAATATCTAATATATGTCAAAGAAGCAAAGGGTAAAACAAGGCTTCAGTAGTTTACAATTCAGTATGTTTATTTTCATCAATATTAATGTTTGCATATTAGTTTTAAATTAATAAATAAAAGTGTTTATTACACTGAAATAATACAAATATAAACACGTTGAAAGGATACGTATTACGATATACTACTCGGATATGTGTAGAAGACTGGGCAATTATCACAAATGTCTGGATTGGTACTTGAGCACGCTATAAAACAAAAGAATAAAAAAGTGTTAACAATCCTTCCAAATAAACATTCTTAAGTTTCATACACATTTCTCAGTTTTTTAGAAATACACTGTACTGATTCATGTTTACTGTTAAAACCTATTTACATTTAGTTGTCTAAACCTTTACTACGCTGGCTCGGCTCCATGAAAATTAATTACTTGAACTACAAAATGACTTATAACACTGTTAAAACCACCTGGTATATTAAAAAAACACAGAGCTTTCCAGTATTTTATATAGGGAAATTTTAGCTGTTGGTACTACAAAAGATGACCAGGCAAATAAAACACTACCTTGATTCTCATGAAAGTTAGGAAACTTTTAAAGATGTATACTACAAACAACTGAAGCAAAAAATTGTGAAAAATTAAAGATTCATTAAAACTAGTCTCAGCTTAACACAAGGAGGAATGTTTCTTTAGGCATTCTCACAGACATGATATAATACTAATGTAGCACTTCACAGTACAAGTATTAAAAAGTTACACACATACATAGATACACACACTATATTTCACATTTATATAATTAATAATAGCACATAAGGTTATACAAACAACATGATTTTAAACAAACAGTATTATTTAAGCCATGATTGACAAATACACAAAAATAACTCATAAAAGATCAGTATAACTTACACATTACAGCAATAAACATGCAGACAAAGTTATTCTTCCAATAGTAATGACACTCTCCCATTATTAGTTTTGCACCATTACAAGGGTTCTTTAAAATGTATATTTCATTCCTAATGCACAACAATAAATTACAGCAATATACTTCTTAATAGTGTTCCCTAGAAGTTGTCACACATTTTGTAACTTCAGTAAGACAGATGTTATGAAACCTTGGGAAGGTTTTTTTGTTCTGAATTTCCTGCAAAGCTACACGAGGGCCATCTACACTAGCCATCCCTAATTTAGCAGTGTAAGACTAGAGGAAAGGTAGTTAGTCATCACCATCCACTGCCAACTCTTGGGCTACTCTTTTACCAACGAATGGTGGGATTGACCATCACATTATAATGCTCCCATGGCTGAAAAGGCGAGCATGTTTGTTGGGACAGGGATTTGAACCCGCAACCCTCAGATTGCGAGTCGAGCGCCCTAACCACCTGGCCACCTTGGGAAGGACACTAAGTTTACAAATACAAGCTTTCTTCCCTCCAAAATTTAAAACAACTTATAAGTTAACCACCAATTTTAACAGCAAAATCTAGCTGTGTATGAATGACATACTACAGAAGAAAGTTTGTGGTAGTGAAAAATATGATGGATAAAAAAAAAAGTTTGTAAGTCACATTAATTCTTTTATTGCCATGGGCAATAAAATATTTTGTACCATCATAAAAAAAGTATTCCTCTTCAAATTTCCCTAAGTTTACCAGTTTCAAATTTCAGATAAGTAATGAAATATTAATGTGTATTTTTTGTTTTTTATTATGTTTTCAAAAAATAAAGCTGACACTAGCAGAGTTGTTTATCTATAAATGTGACAGAAAAAAAAAAGAGTTTAAAAAGAAGAAAAACTACCACTTTTAACAGATGGATATGTCTTTTTTTTTTAGGGGTAAATGCAGGTCCACCTGTTGAAAGTGCTAGTCATATCTTTCTTTTTATGTGATATTATGGAGAAAAATTATGTTTAACAGTTATTGTTTGTTATTACTTTTACATAAAACTTTCCAACTACAAGTGCTGTAAACAATGTTGATTTTTGGCAGCTGATATATGCCACTTATAGCTTAAATTGTGTAAACAATATTTTTGGCTACTGTATACAAGTTATTCTTCTTACGGTTTGTTACATTTAATATTACTGGTTATAATATGTGGAACAATTTTGAAAAGTTCTTAATTTTTACACTTATGAAAATGAGTTTCACTTAGCATATGGTTTTAGGACTAATGTAAATGTGTTAAGCTGGCCAAACCTTATGAGATATTACTTGGATTAGAGTTTAAAAATATTGCTAATAATTAGGGTAATAAACTAATGATTCAATAATACTTTAATCATTTTTGGTTTTAGTTTCTTGTGAATAAGTTACGATATTAAATAGTTATAGTTGCAAAACTCTTCATTAACATATAGTTTCTTTTATGCTTGAACGTGGTTAGCTTATTTTTCATCAGAAGTTCTTAGTAATAATCCAATATTCATATGCATTGTGTGTTGATGAATTTATCTGCAAATGCTATACAGCATAGCCCCCACCCCTCTATCAAGGGGAGATAAAACACATCCAAAAGGTTCCAGAACCAAATGGGAGTCTAGAAATGGGTTTATCAGGGTCCTTAAATCCAAATCCAGCAATACATTTTGTGTTCCTGGCCCCTCTTGGATCCCAAGGGTGCCATGTCTGAAACTGTGTTCATACCCCACTCACAAGCCAGTGAGGCACATGTTCTAATACTACAGATGGATGTCCTACTGGGGTTTGTTTTTTCAGGTACAGACTAATAGAAGTAACTGAGGAAAAAGGAGGAACTTGATCAGTGCACTAGGGCCTCTGTGAATCATGATGTGGGCTTTCAATCAAGCATTCTTTAAACAATGCCAATGGCTGGCAGCTGATTTATGCTCATAGAGCACAATACAGAAATGTCTCTTTTTTTTTAAACATTCTAAATAGTAAACATTATTTCAGACAGTGAACTGCATATCACTTAACAATACTGACACTGTAAATTACACCAAGATGAGGAGCAGAAGGTAGCTTGCTCAGAGACAGCAGAAGACTGTATGTGTCATGGAGGGCCTGAAAAGAAGAAATTCTCAGTATATTCAGTGATTACATAATCATGGAAATTTGTTAAGTAACAGCTAAAATGTAAGTAATGTAAAGAATACCTGCACCCTGATTTTTAATTAATTACATGCTGATACATGTATCAAACAATGGTGGTAAAAAGGAAAATATTATATATTTGATTAAACATAAATATTCAAAACTTCTTCCTATCTTATCCTAAAAGTAATATTTTTTTTCTTCAACTTTTACCTGAAATAGCTAAAACAATGTTTTAAATTATTCACAAATGAATAACTAATACCAAATAGCATCCTTTCTGCTAACAATAATTTAATGTGGTTTTCAGTACATAACTGTATGAATGAAGAAACAGGACTATGGTGGTAGTCAAATTCATGTTAGTAAAATGTGAAGGCTGCCAATTGAAGCTCTCCAACCAACCACATCAAATCAACTTATTACATTAAACATTATTTTCTATAGGTAGAGGTTATTTTATAAAACCAACCTGAACCAACTTGGCAACAGAATGGTGATGATTAAATTCATGTTGTAGCTGAGATGCAACTGAAGTGTGTGGGTTGCTTGCGGACACTGTCTGACCAACCACACCAAAGGCAAGATGGAAACGTCGCTCAGAAGCTCGCCAGTAAATTGTTACCTATTAATTATGTTTTTTAATTTTTCAAGTAAAACAAAAAACTTTACACAGAATAAAGAATAAAATGAGTGATTTATAATTACAATATTCAGTTATGCTACTTTGTTACTTGATTTCTAATGTCGCTACAAAGATGTACTTCATTTAATAAAACCATTATTCAATTCATGAACTCTAGTAATTCAATTATACAGTACAGAGGTTATTATCTATTCAATAATTTTCACTACGTCAACACAGTTGCTGAAATCGTTTACTTAAAATAGAGCAATTAGTTGCATATGGAAGGTTGTACGTAATCATTTCGCCCAAAATCAAAAAGTTAAGCCTCATTTTTCAGATTGGTACTATAATACAGCTGTATGCAAAACTGACTACCTTTAGCAAATGTTACAATTCACAAGTTCTTAATATATAAAAGACAAACACTGAAAGGACTTGTAGAAACACTGCAAATGTTGCACACTAAGTAACACTGCTACTTTGATTTTCTAAAAGTACATACTGTGCTAGCTTTACTGGGCCCATAACCAACAACTAGTTTCTTATATGTGAAACTTTTGATGTCCATTAAGCTGGCCAGGTTTCCGTCTTGATCTATAAAAACAGAAATACAGAGATTTTAATAGTTGCAGAATCTCACAAGTTAGCACTAATACACAGAGAAAGATAATATTTTGCTTTAAATGTACAGCACTAGACTATTATGATCTGTCCTCTCAACAAGCCACTTCTTGTGTTCTTGGTTTACATTGGCTTCTATAAAAAAACAAAAATCAAAGCATTGTAGCTATAGTTATAATTATCAATTTTAGCATTCAATAATTTTTTTATATTAATGACATATAACAATTCCTGCTTTTTCAAAATATTAAACAGAACTTATTTTGTTTTTACTATCTGTATGTTCAATCTTTTCTGTTTTATTTATTGTACAAATATAATTCAAAACTGAGCCAAACATTTAATAACTCTTCTTTTTTGTAATAATATGGTAAAATTGTTTTTTTCTCTTCTATTTTACATAAATTAATGAAATCCACCATATTAAATAAACTATCAGGGTTTGATATCAAATTAATACAATTATTACACACCAACATGACTCCTTCATAGTGTGGACAATATTTAAGAATATAATTAGAAATATTGCAACATCAACAGTTCAACATTTTTATATAAAGCAACACACACCATAACATTGGAACCCTGTTCTAATTTTATCAACTTATTGTTAGTAACAACTGCTGTGTAAAGAATGCTGACTGAACTCATTAGGATTTACAAACTAGACAGTAATGTATTATAACTAGAACAACTGAACATTTTCTAATAAGTATCAATGTGTCAAGATGAAAGTATTCGAGATGATCAACATTTTACTTATCAGTAGGTAACATACTGCAGGTATTGCAAGATCCTAGTCTAAACAACTAAATATTCAGCACAAGATAACTATTTGATCAACTGATCATTTATCAGTAATAAATCCCATACAGATTGTAAAGGACCTGAACTGATTAAATAATCATCTGTCATCAGTGAGCACTATACAGGTAGTAAATGATTCTAATCTGACCATATAATCCTTTGTTACTCTCATCTGTTTTGTAAAGGTTAGCTCAAACTGTGAACCATAAGAAACGTAACGATGACAAAGTGAAGTTTGATGAAACAGTACACATTTTAAACTTTTCAGACTCTTGTGGAGGAGATGAAGTCAATAAAAAAGAATGGTTGAAATTAATAACATTCACCTAAAATTGTTTTACTTATGGAAACTAGTCAGACCAAGACAATAAAGAAATGACAGGTGCATTAGGGTAAGAGGCATGCTTAATTATTAAAAATGAAATATAAATGTCAAAACATTTATGTAGTGCATAATATAGTACAATGCAAGTTTTTTTGGAAATAGCATATTTTCCAAAGATAACTGGGTGATCCTCCAGGAGCTGAACAACATAAAAAAACTGTTCCTTGAAGCTGTAGCTATTCTGTAGATGGAGAATATCCATTCTGATTGGTCAATTTGCTAACATGCTGCCAAAAATTTGAAACTTTCTCAACTATCCAACACCTAAACAAGGAGATGAACGACCGCTTTACATGATGATATCACCACTCTTTCATTAGCCTTACATTTCTTATTGGTTGCAATATAAACTAGACATAATTTGTATCAGGTTCTGACAAGTTCAACCCATTATATTACACAAACAAACACTATGAAGACAGTACAAGAATCTGATCTCATTAACTGATCATCTGCCAATAATCAACTAAATAATTGAGGTTCCTGGTTTGATCAACTTTTTATCTTTTAGTAACCAATGCTATCAGTGGTACAGGATTCTTGTCAGGACTAACACTTACAGAGGTTTTACTTGTCCAAATAGAGAATCCTAATCCCACCAAATAACCATTTAACAGTGACTATATTAAATAATACATGGACAGTAACAACTTCTGACTTGTTTAACACGTCCTTTATCAATATGGTTAATAAAAGATCCATCCTGATCTGATCAACTCATTATTTATCAATAATGAAAATTATATAGAAAATAAAGCACTTTTATCGACCAAATTAGCTAACACTTTAGGAAAATGGTTCCTCTTAAAATCACTCATTATTTGTTGATAATAAAAATTATATACGAATTTCATGATTCTCATGTGATCAGCTCACCATTTTTTAGTGCTTCACTAAACTCAACAACAACACCATATAGATGAACCATTGTGCTCCAGTCTTGAAGTAATTCATCCACCATCTCCACAACTTGTCGAGATGTACCACTGCCAAAGTCATACATGAATGATACTGGTCTTCGAGGCCCTTGTTCTTTAGCTGAGAGACTTGTTAGGGGGCAGTTGCAAAACACAAACTGTAACAAAGTTTGTAAAAATTGTAAAAGTATAAGCTGAGAAGAGAATATCTTGATTTACAAACACAAAGTTTTAACATCAAGATAGGATAATGCATGTTAATACTTCTTTTTTTTTATGACAGTTTTCATAGTATATTTACATAACTTCCTAAGTGAATATCAAAAGTTTCGTTAAAATTTTGTATTTTCTCTACCATAAAACTAAACATATTGAAATCATCAGTAGCAAAAGTTGAAAAACATGAAAAAAAAGACAAAAAATACATTTGTTTTTTAGAATAACTGCAGATTGTAACGGATAATTACAATTATTTATCTTAAACAAGATATATATGGATAAATAAATCCCAATGTAAGAACAAGTTACAGTAAGCAAAGTACTGAGTAACATTAATACCATGAGTATGCTCAAGTCACACCAGACAAAGCATGTGTTCCTTAATGATAAATTTTATTTAATTTTTTTTTGTATTTATGTTTTCTTATTTAACCTAATAAGTTTCTAATTTTTGCATTTTAGTTGCTTTTGTAAAAAATATGAAACAATAAATATATATATATATATATATATA